CCAATTTGCCAAAATAATTTAAATTCTTTTGTCGCTACAAATAAATTCTCTACTCCAGACTATCTTTCTCTTTCTCGAAAAGATTATAGCATTATATATATATATATATATATATATATATATATATATATATATACCAGATAATCCTAAGGATCCAGGCAAACCTACCTAGGTTTCACCTAAACGGATCTTCAGGGTAATGCCAGTTTTACCCTGAAGATCCGTTTAGGTGAAACCTAGGTAGCCTGGCACCTTAAGATTAACTTAGATTTTGGTATACTTAGTGTATTGAGCACTTTACGTAGTTGTCTTTTTACTAGTTTTTTTTTTTTCTTTGGACTTGGAGCTTGAACACTGTACGATTGCTTTCGTCTTAGTTTAATGTTTTGCTTCTTTCTTTTTTTTATTCCACATTTTCCCTCGGGTATCGATTTGATCTACTGCAAGTTGAGCTATCCGAGGTTTTTCCAAACGAGTACCACTATATATATATATATATATATATATATATATATATATATATATATATATATATCGTCTTGGTGTTTATATCGAAGAAAATCTTCCAGTTTTAAGGGAATTATCACTTGAGACCCCAGATGATTCTTTCATGTGCTTTCGACTTTCTTTATTGCACTCTTTATGATTTTTTTTTCTATATCGCTCTCTTTCTCAGGACAGCAATTTATTAGAGAAAATTTCTGACTATATAGAAATGGCTCTTTCTCTCTTTCTCTCTCTCTCTCTCCTCGTCCATATCCAAAGATTTTAATGCTCATCATGTGGAATAGCTTAAGCCTTCTAAAGTTTCTGATATTGCCGGTATTTAGACTCTTAATTTTTCCTCTTACACAAATAATGGATTTCCCTAGTTGTTTTACTAATAAATCTGATCAACATGCTTCTTTACTTCCTTTATTGCTTACCTCCTCTCCTAGCTCTTATCAAGCATCACGACTCTGTGCTTTTGGCATTTTGAATCACGCAGTCGTATCTGCTGATATTTCTTTGAAATCTATTCACAAGACTTCTTTCTACTACAATCCCACCGATTTATTTCGGCCTCTGAGATTGATAATATAAAACTTTCTATCGAGAATTGTGCTACAGAGCTTTCTTCTTGGGTTAAAGCCGGCATCGATGCCATTGTTCCTTCTCAGAAATAACTTGGTTCACGCCGGCCTGTTCCGTCGGCATAGCCCAAAAGAATCACTCCTTCCAGTTGTTCTGGTATGATAGTTCCAATCACAAAAGACGCCTATTTGTGTCTGCTGGTCATGGTTGTAAACGTCTCCCCAAAGACGCGAAGCCTTTGTGCGCTGATAGAATGAGGTGCCGTATAGCCTCTAGTAGGTTTGGCTCTCGTAAATACTGGCGACGCTGTAACAGTGTCTTAAATAAGAGTAAGTCTTTTATACCTCCACTCAGTTTCTTCTAGTAATAAATCTACCCTTGACTCAACTGGAGTATCTTTCCACTTCGAACTGAGTAGCAATTGACCATGGTTTCTGCTATCATCTCCATACTGGATTCCCTCAAAACACGTTGACAATGTTATCCCTGCAATAATCCTTAAGATGTGTGCTCCCCGAACTGGCTCCTGTTCTTTCTAAACTGTAGATAAATGCCTTGCTGCTTATTGCTTTCCTGCTTTTTGGAAATCTTCTGTCGGTCCTTATCGACCTGTTCACCATAACTCTGAATTGGTTAAGTCTCTCACTTCGCAGGGTCTTCTTTCAGATAAGCAATAGGGCTTACCCTGCTCCAGTCTATCAAATTTTAGACAAGAATGCTGAATATTCGGGCTGTTGCTTCACATATCTAGAAGGCATCTGACAGGTTTTGGTATACTGGTCTTCGTCACAAATTGAAAGATTATTGTATTTCTGTGCGAATTTTAAAACTTATTCAGCCTTTCTTATCAAATTAAGAAATGAATGTGTTCTTGAACGGCCACTCTTCTAAATCTTTTAGCATTAATGCAGGCGGTTCCTAAGACTCGATCTTTGGAACTACGTTGTTCTTGCATTTCATCAACGACCTTCCTGATGGCAATAGTTATCAACTCGGTATCTATACTGATGACACAGATATTTACTCCTGATCATTTCGGTAAGATCAAATTGGTAGCTGATTTAAAAAATGACCTAAGTTCTGTTGTTAACTGGAGTATGGAATGGCTTGTTAGTTTTAACGCATCCAAAACGAAACTGCTCTCTATTAATCGTCTGAGAGAATCCTTTCTGCCTTTAATTAGCATGGCTAATGCTAATCTCCAGGAGATTGACTGGTTGCGCCTTTTCGAGTTAAGGCTGCTTAATAAATTGCAGATCAGCTGCTAGGAAAGTTAATTCACTAGAATATTTTTCACTTCAGAATTTATCTTACATATTTATGTCTACCATACGTTCATGCTTTGAATACTGTTGCCACATATGGACTGATGTCCCTGCTATATATTTCGATATTCTTGAGAAAATCCAAACAAGAATCTACAATGTTATTGGTCCTGACCTGGCAACCCGGCTTCAGTCACTTTGCCACCACGTAATGTCTCTTCCCTATGTCTTTTCTATAAATACTTTCATGGTTATTGTTCTGACGAACTTTACTTTATGGTACCTAGACTTTATGAATTTAATGTACTCGTTTAGTTCGTCCTGAAACACTTGACTTGCCTAAGCGTAAATTTCTTTGTTAATAGTTTGTTTTCTCGCACTTCTCACCTGCTGAACTCTATTTCTGCTTCTTGATTCCAGCCAACTTTGGTCTTCAAAAGTTTGAATGTGATGTCAATCATTATCGTCTGTCTTCACGCAAATAGAGAAAACATCATTAAGAAAAATAAAAAAAAATATATTGTTCTCGCTACTTAATAATTTTTTTTTTTATTTCTCATTCTTTCACATTCATTAACTCTTTGTGTTTTAATGTTTTAATTACCTTGCTTTGGAGGAAATGTTTAACGACATATCAACCCCTTCATCGCTCATTTTTTTGCTGAAATTTAATTTTGTTGGGAAGTAATAAAAATATGATATATGTTATTCTGCTTTCACAATTGAATACATGGTAGATGATACTCAACTTTTGTGCATATATCTTTTGTTATGAATATAATTTCTAGAGCCGGTGATATGTGTGTTGTATGTTGTAATTTTGTTGATGTTATATTTTGACATATAGTTTCATTTATTCAAGAAATCGTAGTATATTATATGGATTAATGTCATAAAAGAATTCTTTCATGATGGTTGTTTGACTGATTTTGTTTAGCGGCATATCAAACTTTGTGGTCTATTTAATGCCGAAATTTAAATATTTTGAACACAATTATATGGTTTCAACTAAATATATTTCGAACGCAATTGCATGCTTTCAACTACAGATAAAATTTATTTTTGGTCATTTTCCGGTGAAAATTTATTGCCGGTAATTTTCGTATAAAATATATTGTTGGTCATTTTACTAAATAGGTATTATTGGTCATTTTACTATAAAATTGTATTGCTCGAATTTTTACTAAGAAAATGTATTTTTAGAGTTTCATTTTTGTTTTTGTTCACTATTTTACCATAGCTGGGTCCTTAACAGGTGCTACAACCCCGGGTCGTGGTGGACATGGATACAACAGCAATTAATCGGTTCCACGCTCCTCAAAAGCTCCAGTCTCTCGATCAGATGTCTTGCTGCCAGGGGTAGTCTATCGTCATACCCAGGACTATGGAAGAAATTATTACAATTTTACAACGTATGCTGTTTAAAATGAACCGTCGTTGTGCTAACCGGCTCAGCACTGTTATAAGCTCCCTTTAGGATTGTCGTGCTCCAGTAAGTACCAATCTTCTTACGAAATATCTTCTCATGATAATTCAAGAGATTGAATGCGTAACATGGCTGAAGTGAAAGTTTATTTTACGCCGTTTAGGTGAAGGATTACCTTCAGTTCCGACAGTTCAAAGCATTCTCAATAAAACAACGAAAAGCCTCGATTGACGAGGCTTGTGTGACAAATAAAGCCCTGAAGGCGTCAAGAACCTACATCGCGTCTGTGCGCGTGTAAGTGTGACGATATTTATCACAAGTGATAATAAACTTGCACTTGTTCGGAAGAAGGCTACTGATGAAACTGGCTAGATGACATTCGGCAATTGTCTTCATCTTTATTGTCATATTCACGACGTTTCGTTCGTTGTACGCTCCGGCCTTCTTCAGGTGAGATACGTTGGAATTTCGAACTGAACCCATTATTTAGTCCAGGGGTGTGGAGAGTGTTCTAGTTCCACGTGCCATGCCTTTTCTGGCTATCTCAGTTTTTCTTTAGTAACTAAACTCTGTAATTTTTTGTTCACCTTTGCTGTGGCCAGATATTGAACTCACGCTCTTTGCTGGATTACTTTAACCGATGCTTTTATCCACTGGGCCATGTCTCCTCGGGGACGTTAAAGATGAGGGAAACAGTCCGAACAATGCAAATAATGTAAATACCTAAAATACGTCATCACAGAAATGTAAGCAGACCGAGGAACCAGGCTCAAGGCTGCCATAGTAGAGTATTCAGCGACGTTTATATCCACAGGTTCTGCTCGTTTGTGAAATTAGTTCGATCAAAAGTAGTCATCCAACTTACAATAATTACAGTAGATAAATATACAATCGTGTATCTATCTGGAAGTAGATATATGAATAGATTTTGGAAATCGATAAAATTGACTTGTACTCGTGTATTAAGTCTACGAAAGTGCCATCAGCCTAATGGAGTATTAACTGGGCGTTTCTTGTGATATTTCGTCTTGATGTAAATTAAAAAAAAAGAAAAGAAAAGAAGAATATTAAAAAGTAATAGATGGAAAAAAAAATCTGAAATTAGCCATTTTTACAATTTTTATTTTATGCGCAACATTTTCCGGCGAAAAACCGGTTTTCAACTGAGTATTTAAAAAAAAAAAAAAGAGATGGATTATTTTCTACACGTCTAATATTGGCTTACGGCTACATTA